CCTTTATGTACAGAATCTGAATATCGAAAAATATTTTAAAAAATGCAATAATATCGTATCGTGCGTTAAGTATTGTGATAATATCGTATCGTGGGATGTATGGTGATTCCCACCTCTAATTATCAGTAGCCTAGCTAAAATAGAGTAGTAGTGCTAAATATTACTTTTAGCAATAACTAACTCAAATGTATCAAAATGTATCAATAATGTATCCAGTCATATTTTGTTATTATTCCTTTTGAGAAACAGTGCCGTACCTTTCCCTTGTGTGTCTCCTGAAGCCACTTGCGCAGTCTGATCAGGCAACTCTCCTGCAGGGGTGTCAGGTCACCCAGGTAACGTTTGATATAGTCTGCATCCAGCTTGTCTGCAACATAAAAAACACAAAAAGTTAGACTGCTGGATAGTAAATTAATGTGTAATAAACTTTTACTGAAATATCACCCATAAATCACAAATTCTAATCAAAATCTTAGATTCTGTAAACAAGGCCTTGCCCTAGCTGTCAACAGATATGTAATTGGATGTCACGATTCACAATAAGAAATATGTTTTTCCAGAAATTACATTCATAACTGTAAACAACTTTTCAAGACGCTGAATTCCATTCTCACACCCATCCCCATTCTTGAGCAACTACTTTTCCTCAGTTATTTAAATTATTCACCAAAGTTGTCTAACTGTTTTTTCTTTTCAACGATGCTTGGAGATGACAAACTGTTGCGGCAGTGGTGTAAAGCAAATAAAATGTCCCTCCAAGTTTAGTTACACAATACGATTTCAATATTAGCCATTTTTTGCAGAATATAGTTATATACACAATTATAAAATAAGCTTCTAGGATTCATTTTCTGAATCGTCAGGTACAGACCTTCTGGTGTCCCCGGCAGAATCTCTGCAAGGCTGTCGTTCTGAAGCAAGTTGCTGTCCTGCTTTGCATCCTGTGAGGGTCCATCCCTGGCATCTGCAGACACTGGGACTGAATCGGCAGGCACGATTCCAAGCTCAGGTTGGTTCGTTGAGAGGCTGGTCGGGCTGGAGAGAGGCAGGGAATGAGAGAAGGGACTCCAGCGGGGCACATGAGTGATCCCCTCATCATCTAGCTCCTTTAGGTAGTATTCTATGATTTCTTTTCCCTGTTAGAAGGAAGGAAAACAAGCGTGAGAATACCGAAAAACATGATCTACATGTGTTTTTATTCAACCAAGAAAGGCCGTGTAGCATTTAGCATTTTCCAACTCGAGCGTCATTTCAAACTGAAGCATCAGTTAATGAAAACAGAAGGAAAAAATAAAAGGACTGTATTCAACATTGTTCATTAATGAAGGTGGATGACTCACTGGGTCCATAACAAAAGAGCCCTGTCCAGTCTAAAAGTTTACACAAGCTTATTTATGCAATTACAGTGTGAGATGGACTGAGTCATGTTCCAGAAACATCCAACCTCGTAGGACAGAGTGATCTCTGAATAATTCATAACGCCGTCGTCGTGTTGTTTAATGTTACTGTGCATCGGTACATTCACACATAAATGACAGGATGAAACAATAAGCACACACAAACACACCTTTTTGATACTGCTGGCATACTGCTTCATAGCAATCTTTTCCACGGTGCTCTCAAAGCCGAAGAAGGACTTGATGTCCAGACTGGCGGTTTGCTCAAAACACGTCCAGTCTTCATTCTCCGGGTGGACCTGGACACACACACACACACACACACACACACACACACACACACACACACACTTTATATTAAAGCTGTAAACAACACAGAACCACATAACCATGTTACTATGGTAACCATATACCCAGCTTCATTACATGATGACGCACAAAGAAGGCAATTTTCACACCGAGCACTGTGAGTGGGAGTCTGTGTGTCAGTCTGTCCATGTTAAAATTAGCCAGCATTTCACACATGAACAGTCATGAAGCTTGAAATACACACATTTCCCTCAGTGCTGTGTGAAGGT